AAAAAAAAAAAAAAAAAAAAAAAAAAAAAAAAAAAAACCAACCCAAAAACAAAGCAGTCGTAAATTGAGGCAGATTCATTTTTATATAAATACCATACAGTGTTCTTACACAAATCTAGGCGGTATAGCCTAATGCACACCTAGGCCATATGGCGTAATTTTTTCCATGGCTACTAAACCTATAAACAATACTTTCTACATTTCAATAAGTTTTACTTATTGTATGTAACTTTATAAACTTTTAAAACATTTTTTGTACCAGAAATCAAATTCACAATCTTGCCCTTGCTAGGTAAGTGTTGTGCTGCTGAGCTGTAACCCCAGCCATAAAGCTTTTTTTTTTTTGACTTATAATTAAGACATAGCATAAAACACACTGTACTGCTATACAAAATTATTTTATGTCCTTATTTCTACATACTTTTGTTTTTCAATATTTTTCATTTTTATATTTTAGACTTTTTGTTATAAACTAAAATATAACATGTTGCACTGGCCTCACTCCCAGGCAAAGTGAGCTAGCCACCAAGACTGGGTGTGGTGCACACCTGTAATCCCAGCACTGGGGAGGCTGAAAACAGGAGGATCACTACAAGTCTGAGCTGCATAGTGGGATCCTGTATCAAATACATTAAAACAAACCAACCCTATAACATAAATACACTAGCCTCTGTAGAGAGGGTCAGGATTACAAATACTGTTTTATAACTAATATTGCTATATGTATAAAAATAATGGCCATACATGTTAAGATGTGTTTTCTTGGTTGTGATATATCACAATTTTTCAAAAATCATCAAACTAAAAATAGAACTCTTTAAACTCTGGAACAAATTTTAGGAGATGAGGAAGAATAATTGAAAAGTTTAAAGGTGCAATGCTTTTCCTATTAATAAATAACCCAGGCCTGGGAGATGGCTCAGCAGCATAAGGGCCTGCTTGGCAAGTGCAAGAGCCTGAGTTCAATCTCTGGTACCAAAAATAAATAACCCATACTGAAAACTACTGGAACATCAAGTAACAGAAAAGAGAATGGAAGTCAAGAGGCAAACAGTGTAAGGTGGAGTGAGAATACCATCTTTACCCACCCGCTGCCCTCACACACATACCAGGAGGTAAGACAGAGTCCTGTGGAGAAGTGAAGAGAACAGAATGGAAAGCGCATTGCATTTTGATGTGGCTTCTTAGCTCTGGGTCCCTTACAGGATGAAAGCCAACTAGTTCTACAGTTAGAGCTGCAGCATTTAGGCAAGTGAAAGCCAATGTGTGAGGCTGGACTCAAGCCATGGCTCCGGGTGGAAAGGCAGTGGTGGCCACAACAGGGCAATGAGCAGCCTGTCCTTTTTACCAAGCTGCTGAAGTTTCTTGAGGCCACATGGTTTTATCCAGACCTCTTCCAGGAAGTGACACCACACATCAGCTGACTAGCGTATCCTGGGGAATTCCCCTAAAATGCAGCCCACATGCAGTGGGAAAGGGACTATAATGACTCACACTGGGTCGGCCCTCTAAGGCCCAGCATGAACCAGGTTAAAGGTCTGTCTTTGTCTTCATACCAATGTGACTGGGAAAAACAGACTCTGCAGTCACTCATAAGAAAAAAGGAAACACCCAGGGAGAAACACCGATGAACCTTGAGCACTTTATGATAAGCGAAATAAGTCACCAAAACACCTATGATGTACACAAACACTGTGATTGAACTGATGAGGAGTATGAACAGTCCACAGAAACAGAAAGGAGAACAGTAGCGGGTGGGGTGGGGAAAGTAGGGAGCTAGTATATGGAGTTTCAGTTTTGGAAGATGGAAAAAGTGTAAGACACGGGTGGTGACTGCTGGGTTGTACATTGTGAATGTTCTCAATACATTGAACTGTGCATTCAAAAATGATTATATTGTTAGATTTTTCTCATACAATATAAATAATAAAAAAAATCACTGAAGTTCAAAAAAATGGTCAAGGCAATCAATACACAAGACAAAGAACTTAATATTCAAAAGGAAAAAAAAAAACCTTTTTAAAAATAAGGGCTGGGGATGTAGCTCTGTGACAGAGCACTGCCTAGCATACATGAAGCCCTGGCTTCAATTCCAGGACCAGGAAAGAGAAAATCAAGAGACAAATACTCCAAGCTCAAGGTATAGGCTGAAGACAATCACGAATCTGATTAAGGACAAGCATTGAAGAACACTGTTGGAGAGCTTGCCACAGAGCTCTCCCTGCCTTGCTCTTCTAGACCCCCAGGACCAAATGAGGGTGTCTTTGGTTCAGCTCTGTCCAGCCCTGCTATTCATAATACACAAATGAGAAGTCCCAGAAACCAGTTCTGTTTGGGAAAGTTTTCTTTTGTTCGAGGCTTCGATGGTTAATATGCTTGACGAATTTCAGAGTCTCTCTGTCTCTGTAGACCAATGCCAAAGAATTGTTTTCTGGATTCACTATTAGCAACTGAAAAAGGCAAATACAATGACATTTCACAGCACAGAACTCCTTCTCAACTCTTCAAAAATTAGTACAAAATAGTTTCTATAGCACACATCTAAGATGGGGATAGGGGATTTTTTGAAAGAGGAAAATAAACTTTCTTCTGGTTTTTAAGGCATTTTATAACAAGCTCCATTCTATCAGCAAATACCCAGAAAGGTTTAGTTAATGCATGTATTTCTAATGACATTAGAAGATTTGTGGGAAAAGATTTGTAAGAAATTTGCAATTTCTCAGTAAGGTAGAACAAATGCTTAGTAATTATCCTTTAGCATCTTTATTCTATGCCGAGTATTTTCTTGTAGAAATTAAGAGCCACTGCCAGGCATTACAACAAAGACTACTTAGCTAAAGATGCTGGCAGAGGTCATAGAAATTGGGTCTCTGAAGAATGAAAGCTTTCTTGTGAAGTGAAATGGAGCATTTGCGTAAGGAGCGCCTTACCTCTTCATCTTCGCCTTTGGCAATATAGGAAGTAAAGCCACCATATTCTGGCTCCCAGCCTAGCAAGAGAAAACCCAGCACTCAGAGAGCTCTGGCCACAAGGGTTGACTCACCCACAGGAAGTGAGAGCTCTGGGATTCACAAGTCACCAGATCTACAGCTTGTGAGCTTACCGTCTGTATCAAGAGTCCCTTTCCCTAAAAGGCCCAATCTCCCACAGATAAACTGGAATGCAATCTTACTTGATGCTGAGTAAGAAAATTGAGAGACTTCAATTTTAAATATACTTAGAAAGGCAATTACCTGAGAGCTATGGGTGGGAGAAGAGGCCTGGGGGTAAAACTATGGTAGAGTCCATCTCCCATTCCTAGGTCAGATATAAATTATACTTTGAGTTGTGTGACTGAAATTCATGACACTCAACATCCTACAGAACTGTGAGATCCTGTGACAGGAAATCTTGGCTATAGAAAAATCATTTTTGAGTTGGTTTAGCTGGAGAGAATCATTCAGGAGAGACTGGTCCTCTAAGCAAACAGTTCTCTGCTTTTTGTCCTCCTTACCTTCGCAGCCACAATAAAGAACTAAGTCCAAGGCAAATTCCGTCTGGCTGTTGTCATGGATTAAAGTGTAGTGACCAGTCCTCCAACGCCTCAGTTCCCCCTGGCAGGTGGGGACACTTGACTCTAAGAAAAAACAACAGAAGAAAGACCAATAAATTTTACAGATAACTCTAAGACAAATACTAGAGTGAAGAATTGACACTTGGTGATCACAGCAGTTAAGGTAAAACTATTCTTGTAAATCTTTAGCTACCACCATCCATATAATCTTATAAATGATTGTCAGACGTTACTAGGTCTATTTGAGGGGAAAGGAAGTTAAATTTCACTTTCTTTGTAATAAATATAAAATTAAAAAAATTATTTTTAGGGAAGGGGCTATAGGGTGTTCAGGGTCTCACTACTAGATTGGACTCCTATTGATTCTCCTGTTTACAGCCTCCCAAGGGCTGGGATTAGAGGCTCACCTACACATCCAGTCTCAATTGCTGTCTCAGTGTGCCCCTGGGGGCGGGGCCAGCACAGCAGGCCTGAGGATTACACCCAGGCCCCTGCACATGCTTGCAGGCACTTTAATCTGCTGAGCTATTTGGCTGGCCCACTAAATTTTAAATTTAGAATCATCTCCAAATACATAAATTTTTGGAACTTGAGTACTATTGAATCTTGAAGAAGGGAAGAGATTTCTCAATGTGTTACTACCAAAAGCAGAATCCAGGCAAGGAGATATAGATCTGTCTACTATAGCACTGTACAGTATGTAAGTGGGGAACACTTGCCCAGCATGCATGAGACCCTTGGGTTGATGGCTGGCACACCCATGAAAAGAAAAGCTAAATCATGCTGAACAAAATTGCAGAACACATAGAATAGAGGGTTAATAATCCCATAAATAAATTTTTTACAATAGGTTTGAAAATGACAAAAGGCAAGATACTCAAATGCCCAATAAATATAAAGAAAACTTAAAACCATACACTATTAATCAATGAAAGGTAAATGCTTGTTCTTATCCACAGAACAAGCAGTTAGAAAATAAAACAGAATAATAATTAATTTGCCAGAAAGGACAGACTCAAATAGAATGCTGGCCTGCGCTGGTGGTATAGTGGTGAGCATAGCTGCCTTTCAAATAGAATGCTGGTGGGAAGACAGACTGATACAAGTTTTAGGGAACAAAACGTAACAATTGCTTTAAAATTCTGAGCAGTCTATTGGCATGGTGGTGTATACTTATAATCCTAGCACTATAGGAGGCTGAGGCAGGAGGATTATGAGTTTGAGCCTACTCTGTATAATTTAGTGACTTTACAAGACCCTCCCTCAAAATAAAATCAATCCCCAGTACTAAAAAAAAGAAAAACATGCAGATTTTGTTTTTTTTTTTTTGAACCAGGGATTGAACTCAGGCCCTTGCGCTTGCCAGGGAAGCGCTTATTCTACTGAGCCATCTCCCTGGCCCAAAACATACAGTTTTTGATGTTGCACTTTCTCTTCTCTCATCCATGTACTAACCAGGCCTGAACTGGCTTAGCTTCTGAGGTCAGCCCTATTAACACCTACAGTCCTAAGAAGCTGTTCTCATGATGGTGGAGAGTTAGAAAGAACCCAAACATACCACCTGAGGTTGGTTAAAGTCATGCAATGAGATACGCTACGTCAATAAAATTATTAGAACATTGCACAGGAAACATAAGTATGCAAAGCTGCACTGGTTGGGGAAGGCAAGGGCTTCCTAGAGTGTGTAGATCTGTTACTATAAAGGATATAAAATGTTTGCCCCTGTGAAATACTAAGTGAGAAAAAAAGATTACAGAAAAATCTGTAAGGCCTAATCCCATTATATTAACCTTATTTTATTTTTTTTATGTATTTAGTATGGGATCTATAGGGCCTCACTACACATACTGGATTCGTAGTGATCCTCCTGTTTTCAGCCTCTCAAGCACTGAGACTATAGGCATGCGCCACCACGCCCAGTCTCAATTGTTGTCTCAGCACACCGGGGTCAAACCCTAGCTGCTGTGCTCTACTTCAGCAGGCACTTCAGTCTGCTGAGCTATCTTGGTGGCCCCCACCTAACCCCATTATAAACCTATGTGTATATATATTTTCTGGATCACCTGCTCACCTTCTCAGTCACTCCTTCTCATGTAACTCTATTACAATGCCATGTACGTTTTCTTGTTTATGCATATGTATACATTCAATCTGTCTGTATTCTTTCCTACCAGCTTGTAAACTACTCCAGGAAAGCAACAACCTTGTCTGCTTCGTGTCCCAACTCCTGAATTATGGGGCTGAGCACAGCAGTAGATCCTCAAGAACTATTTGTTGAGTGAATGAATCATTGTACAGTGAATGGTTAAAGGTAAATAAAGACAGATCCTGACACCAACTTACTTTTCTTTGCTACTTCTTCCTCTGGTGCCGAATCTGTCTGTTCACTGCTTTGTTGGCTGTTGTTACTAATGGCTGCCTGATTATTCTCTGAGGAGCTATGGCTAGTCCCCTCTTCAGTGCTACCAGTTGTACAAGCTGCTTCTCCCTCTGTCTTGTCTTTGAGCTCATCTTCTGAAGGGGCCAAGAAGTGAAGCTTCAGGCCTGTGAAGTTGGAAAGCAGCAAGAACAGTGCCTCCGAGCGAAATAACTCCATGCAGTCCTTCAGTACATCAGGCAGCTGACTCTCCTCAGCTTTTTCATAAAATCTGAAAAGCAGCAACGTCGAGTTCATCAAGCCCTATGAGTACAATTACGCCTGGACCACATGCTGATCATTACTTTTGACCTGTCTCCCCAAACCTTTCTCACAATGGTGAGTTGGTAGGCCTGCTACTGGATACCCCTTGGAACAGAAAAAGATGCCAGTGCCCTATTTTTGGAGGTGAGCTGTGCAGACCAAAAAGGAAGATGCGGAATGCAGATGCAGATGTCTTGGATGACGGGTTCTACCTTTTGTTAGGGGGACCATGGCTAGTCCATTCAACCTCTCCTTTCTCCAATGCCTCACAGACCTTTGCGAACTTCTCAGGCTAGAAAATGAGCAAATAAAGAAGCAGTTAGCAATTCCTATGAACCCACACAGCTCTGGCAGGTGTAGCAGCTTTATAAAACTTCAGTCTCCCTGATTCCTAAGTTTCATGGAACACTCACCTCTTTCCCACTAGATCTACCACTGTGAAGTCAGGGCATAGACTGGATACAGTGTCATCTTGCTTAGCTAGGAGACCTGAGTGTCAATGCGAGCATTCCTTTAGGTGCCTGCCTGTCTTCAATCTCTAATTCTTAGATTTACAAAACAAGGAGTATAATAGAGACTTTCTAATGCATAGGCTATAGTGAGGAAAAGGATTAACTGCATTACAGTGAGGGTTGTTACAAGGGAAGTTTCTACACTAAAGCAGATTTTCTTGGCCCTCATTTAATGAATTTTCTAAATTCAAAAGGTTGAATGCTAACACAAAAGTTGGTTAATCTATTACATAATCCCCAAGAGGCTTTACATTGGTTTCCAATTTTGTAACAGAATTCTATAATTCTGTTAAAATTTTACAAGGAATACTAGCGGCCCCTATTAGCTATAAACATGTGAAAGAGGAAAAAATACCTTATAGCATGGTTTAAGTGCAATTAAATTAGTTAAATACGTTTATTTACTATAATACTTCTCAAATCCCATAATATGCTACATGCCAGCTATAAAACTCCAAGGAAGGGAGAGAGCATGCAGACCCTCTCCACCTCGTTTCATGGAGGAACAGCTCCTGGGAATATGATTCCATTGGGCCCACGGCGAACTGGGAAGCACTAGTTACGTCACGTAGCCCTCACAGATTTCCACAAAAAAAAAAAAAAAAAAAAAAAACAAGGCAGGTATTACCCTAATATAGCTGATGATAAAATAAATACCCAGACAAATGCAGTCATTTACCCAGGTTAGTAAAACCAGAGCCAGGATGTACATATAGGTCTTCTGATTTCAGATCTCTTTTCATTGTAAAAAATTGCCTCATCACTGCCAAACATTCATGAGTAGATGTTGATTTCTGGGTGCAGTGGTACATGCCCATAATCTCAGCTACTTTGGAGACAGAGGCAGGAGGATTGCAAGTTTGAGCCTATTCTGAGCAACTCAGTAAGACTCTGTCTCAAAATAAAAAGAGTTGGGGATACAGCTCAGTGCTAGAACATTTTTCTAGTATGTAATCTCTGATACTGTAAAAAATAATAAAAAATGTAAAAATGATATTGCTGAAGTATAATTAACAGTATCTAGTGTTAAAAATAAGCATCAAACAAAATATAAGTATCATACTCATCAAAGGAATAGAAAGGCAACTAGGTAATAAACAACTCCCTTTCAGGGTTTTTATGTGCCTGTGTGCATTGTCTGATAAGGTTCTAGAAAAACTGAGTGCAATGGTCTTTAATGACCTATAATCCCAGCTGGTAGGGGAGCTGAGGCAAAAGGATCACAGGTTCAAGGCCAGCCTGGACATCCTAGCAAGACCCTGTTTCAGAATAAAATTTAAAAAAGGGCTGAGGATGGAGTACAGTATTAGAGGACTTGCCCACCATGTGCAAGACTCTAAGTTCAAATCCCTGGTATCACAAAAATAAATAACAGAAAGCAGTTCTAGACTAATGAGAATATCCAAGAGATTCTTAATCTACTAAGCATACAACTAACACCAATGTGTACTATTATCATTTCTGTATTTTACTTAAGACAGATAAAATATAGAGCCAGAAGGAAAACAAAATTCTCTTCCTGCTAGCTATTCACCCATTCAAGAGGCAAGTTTGCCTGCTGAACAAGATATGTTGACTTACCTTCAGAAATTCCTTCAGGAGAATTTCAGACCTTTCTTCAAACTCTTCTTGAATTTGAGCTTGATATTCCATGTCCAGATAAGAAGGGTTGATCCACTCATACAGGATTTCATGCTTACAAAGAAGCAGCAGATACAAGACAGTTAATAATAATTGCTCTTTTTTTCTTCTATCTGTGTGTGTGTGTGTGTGTGTGTGTGTGTGTGTGTGTGGTCAGCTCAGCCCACCAGGGGGCAGGGCTGGCTGGCATGTAGTGCTGGGGGATTGAACCGCAGTCCCTCTGCTTTGCTAAGCTTGTTCTAAGTAGGTGCTTTAGACCACTGAGCCATCTCATCAGCCCTTTTCTTCTATCTTTCACACTAACTAAAATACATGCAAATCTTCACTGTGTAAGTGACTCCCATGAAGCATAAAGTACTGGGAAACTGCCCGAGAAACACAAAATTACAAGTTTATCTAAGAAAACCAGAAGGTGCAAGCTCCAATTCTAGTTTCTTTATCAGGAAGACCTAATTTTAAACTCAGAAAATGAGATGCTAGAACTCCTAAAATAAGAATCCTTATAATTTGTCCTTACATCTTTTGGGATGTGAGGGTACCGAGGTTCGAGGGGTTCAAAGTAGGCAAGAGGCCTGGTCAGTGAAGGGCCATGAAACCAGCCGCTGATAGACAAACGCGACTTTTCTTCAGAAAGGACCTCAGACACCTGAAAAGACAGCAGCAACTGCACATCAACAAATGAATAAGAAGGAAGAATACAAGCCAAGGCACATGGACCCTTGGATCCTTCATGCTAGGTGTGAAAGCATCCTGGTCAGTTCACAAGCCCAGCTAAAAACTGTCACATTTAGATAATAGATAGCTAAAAAAACTGTCCTTAGTACTTGTATACTGCTGTATTTATAGCTTACAATCTTTACCTGGTGAAAGGATACTGGAGACACTTCAAAGAAAACCAGTTTGTTCCATGCAGGGACAAGAGACTTGATGATCTGCTTCGGCTGAAAGTGTTCTGTACCGGGAGAGAACATATCCACAAATATGGCTCAGTGTCATTAACCGCTTCCAGGCTACTTCACTTCACTCCTGACAACTCTCAAATTTCTGAGGTTATGTGGAAGTACCCATTAGAGTCTAATAAACCACCCCCTTCCATCTGTTTCATTCATGCTTGCTCATTTTTCTAGGTGATATGTTCTTACCATATCATCTGTTTAAAACTGATAAGGGCTAAAGTAAGTTCTGGAAGTTTCCTGGTATCAGCTTGTGGTATCAGTCATTCAAAAAAAACCCTGATGGGGGCCTGCCCATTAGCTCAGTTCTTTTAAGTGCCTGCGTAAGCAAAGGCAGTTAGGCTCAGGATACTGTGGCTCAATTCCGAGATCCTCATGCCTGCCCTTAAGGCATCCTGAGCCAGCCAAAAAAAAAATCTATCTCAACATTTTCTCATGCTTTACCAGACTTGCCCTTAAGGAATCCTGAGCCAGTCCCCGCCCCCCACCCCCCCCCACACAAAATCCTTCAAAAAAACCTTGACTTCCTGGTCCTGTCAGATGCATAACCACAGGCATCTGTGTATGCTGTCTCCCCTGCCACAGTCAGTATTTAGAAGCAGGGTCTATTTTTCATCTTTAAAAAAAATTTTTTTTATTTATTTATTTAATTTTTGAACCCCAGTCCCTACTTTGATTCGTTGATCTGGCCAGCTTCCATCTCTTTTATATACTCTGTAGTTTCTGACTTTCAAAATCAAGTCATCTGCTCTTCAGATATCTGAGAAAATTTTTCTTGAGATGTCTTTTTTCAGCGTTTTAATTTTAATTAGAATTTTTATGAGTACACAGTAGCAGTATATAATGATGACCTTCATTGTGGGATATTTCTCATCTTAAATCAATTCTAATTTTATCTCTGGAGTAATGACTATTTTCAGTACAGCTTCAATGAGTGGCTGTCCGGGCTGGCATTAATCCCTCCTGAGGTAGCCACTGTAACAAGTGGCTTTCATGGCCTTCAAAGTGCTATTGAGTCAGCTTGGTTTTAATTCAGGAATGACCACATGCACCCATCTTACCATCAGTGCTGTACAGGTCCAGGGTGCCCCCCAGGGCACTGTCCCAGGGAGGAACCAGGTACAGAATGAAGGCCACCCGGCGCCCTTCCAGCTCATCATCATGGCACAGCAGGGCATCTGCAAAATTTTAACGGACATCTTAGGTCCCCGAGTACACCTGCTATCTGACCCCTACTTTTAGTATCAGTTCATCTGATATTCAGCTGTAATGTCAGCTCCAGGTTTAAATGTCCCTCGGCTTTAAAAAATGACATGCTTCTTTGCCAGGCATGGTGGCACATACTTGTTAGGTGGCTGAAGGAAGAGGAGGCCAAGTTCAAGCCCAGCCTGAGAAACTTAGTAACTGAGTGAGACCCTGTCTCAAAATAAAAATAAAAAACAGCTGGGAGTATAGCTCAGTGTTTGGGTTCAATACCAAATATTGGGGAAAAAAAAAGAAAAGAAAAAAAGACACGTGTTTCTTCTTATTAAGTACCGAAATAAAAGCCAATATAAAAAAAAAACAAAACTCTATAGGGGCTGGAGAGATGGCTCAGTGGTCTAAAGCACCTACTTGGAACAAGCTTGGCAAAGCACAGGGACCGCGGTTCGATCCCCCAGCACCACATGCCAGCCAGCTGCGCCCTCTGGTGGGCTGAGCTGGCCACACACACATACACACACTAAATAAATAAATGTTAAAAAACAAAACAAAACTCTATAAACAGTGAAAAACGTACCACATATACAGATAAATCTATATATCATCATTAATAATATTTTAATATATATTTTACCTATATAAAGGTATTTACTTTTTTAAAAAAGGTATCCCAATGTGACTACCTGTGGCTTGCCTTCCAGATCAATATGTCCATTTAACATCACTTTGTCTTTTTTCTTTTTTCTTTTTTTTTTGTTTTGGTACTGGGGATTAAACTCAGGACTTTGCCCTCAAGCTGCTGAGCTAACTCCCCAGCCCCTTAACATCACTTTTAATAGAATACTTTTAATCCTTTTTAAAGTATTCTATTTTACGAATATGAATTCTATTATATGAATCGAAATTTATATTCAACTATATGAATAGAAATTTACTTTCCTCCCTCTTTAATTGGTCTCCTACTTCTGATTAAGTCGTTTTTTGGCTATTAGAGTGCTTTAATGAATATTATCTATCAATCTTTTCATACCTGTTCCTATTAACTGCTTAAGCTAAATTTCTAAAGCCACATGGTGGGCTGAGCAAGGCAGCCATCTATGTGGGGTTGAAAAGAAGAGAAGACCATAGTGGCCTGAGACAGCTGACACACAGGACTGTGCCAATAAGAAACATATTGAAGAGAATGGGATTCTGGTTTCTCACTGCTGAAGAAGGAAAAGAAGAAATATGGAAAAAGAAGAAATCTATTAACAAACCCTGCGCTGGTTTCTTTGATTTTTTTGAGACAGGGTCTTGCTTGGTAGTGCAGTTTGGTCTGGAACTCACTATATAGCCTAGGCTGGCCTTGAACTTGTGGTGACTTTCCTGTCTCAGCTTCCAGAGTGCTAGGACTACAGGTGTACCACCAGGCTCCTCTGTGCTGTCTGTATAATTAAAACTGGTGGAACAATGTCAATTCAATTTCCTAAATCTATATACACATAGATATAGCAATACATATAAATACCTGTGTATGCATCCATGTATATGTGTATATTCATACATGCATTATAATGAAAGAGTCTGGGGTCTCAATGGCAAAGACACCGAGAATCCAGACCTTGATTATTAAGTATCATTGTTCCCTAAAAGGAACTAGAGTTCTTGAAAAGAATGGCTAACTAGGTTATTCTTGGACTTGGGAAAGAAAATGTAAGCCTGAAAATTCTTGTTTTACAGCAAGTAAAAAATGAAATGGGGACACAGCAAAATGATACAGATGTCAGTTTGAACATGCTCTTCTCGATCAACCCCAGGACACTATAAGCATCAATATCATAATACAAACTATTATACTTGGGTGTGGTGGCACATGCTTATAATTCCATCTACTCAGGGGCTCAGGTAGAAGGGTGGCAAATTCAAGGTTGGCCTGGGTATGTTAGTGAGACCTTGTCTCAAAATAAAATTTAATAAAGGGTTGTATAAAAAAGCTCAGTGGTAAAACATTTGCTTAGCTTGTGCAAGGCCCTGGGTTTAATCTCTGGTACCAGGAGAAAACAAAAACCAAAAACCCAAAGCCAACAACAACCCAAACCCCAAAAGCCCCAAATAGTCCATTATAGGGACAGCATACCATAAACCTATACCAATATAAGTGAATGAGTAAATAATGGGGAAAGAAACGATAGCTAATAAATATAGAAGAAATGAATGCATTATAAAAATCACTATTTGGCAACTTCCATTGGAATAACTTAGCAAAAAACATCAGTGGATGTTAAAACAAGTGAAACAAAATTTGGTGAGAAATGGGATAATTATATAATTTTAAAGCATCTCTTTAGAAAATACAGAGTGACAAAGGAAAAAGAATAGTGGGCAAACTTATATCAACCAACACTAAGTAGTCAAAGTTAACTCCATTAATAACGTAACAGAAACTGTCCCACCTAGTAGGACATAGTGAAAGAACAGAATTTACTCTTGGTGCAGACTCGTGGCTTGAACTTAATTATGAGGAAACATCAGACAAATTCAAATGGATTACCAAAGTACTACAAAATAACTTGCTTGTAAATCCTCAGAAGCACCAAGATCCTGAAGTCCAGAAAGGACTGAAAAGTTATTCTGGGCTGAGAAAGACAGACATAACCAGTAAATGTGCAATGATAAAATGGACCCTTTTGCTAGTGAGAACCAAATACTAAATGTAAATGGGCCCTGTGGGCCAAGCAGGAATGATGTCTGGGTGCTCATTTGCTGATTTTGCTGATTACTACTTTCAAGCAGGACAGTATATTCGTTACAGAAAGTTCTGAAGTAATCCAGTGGTAAGAAATATAACTGCAATTTACTTTTAGGTAAAATAGGAAACTGATTATTTGTATTGGGCTTGCCACTTTTTGATAAGGCTGACATTACTTCAAATTAATAAAGATATATAACATGGCTTTTCATAGGTATCACTCACGTTATCCCCCTAAAAGTTATCAATTTCAATTTCCCCAGGACAATATATAATAGGAAACCCAAATCAAGGCTTAATTTATTTATATGGACTGATTGACTGAGAAAGGATCTCACCATGTAGTTCGGCTGCTTTTTTTTTTTTAATGTATTTGATCACAGCTCATAGTGATCCTCCTGTCTCAGCCTCCCTAGCCTTGGGATTACAGGCATGCGCCAGTTGAGAGCTGTGGAAGCTGGAAAATCAGTCAAAGGTGTGTAGGCGGGAATGAGCTCAATGCCTAAAGCAAACAAGCTACCTCAGTCCTGAGATAAGCATCCTGACTAGTTAATGTTAGCTATTAGTCACCAGGCAACCTTGTGTCACACCTTACTAACTTTGCAAAAGTATAAAGAAACATAGGTCTCATGGTGCTGGCAAATCAGTCTTGTCTACTAGGCAGACTGGCCACCACCTAGCCCAGCTTTGTCTTCTTGTCTATCTTTCTCATTCCTGCTGCTGTTTCTCCCCACGAAACCACATCCGGCTTCAGTGGCTGGCACAGCATTTTTTTTTTAATGAGCAGAATATATTTACTGAGTGAAAGAAAGCTCCTGTCCAACAGAGGTACAGGAGGGGGGCCTGAGCGGGTAGTTCCCCCCTGGCACAGCATGTTGTGCCAGGGATCAAACCAAGATCCTGGTGCTTGTCAGGCAGGCATTTATACCGCGGAGCTACCTCTCCAGCCTAGTTCAGGCTGGTTTTGAATTCAGTATGTAGCCTGCAGTAGCCTTGAACTCATAGCACTGCCTCAGCCTCTGGAGTATTGAGATTACTGGTATGTGCTGCCACTTTCAGCCATAATTTTATTTAGTACAAAACAAAAAAACAAAAATTCCCCAAACTTGTATTTGAAAGTATAATTATGTGCCCTGAAAAGAAATAGAAGGATGCACCCTAAACTCGTGACAATGGCTACTAAAAAAGAAAAAAAAGTGCAGAGAGGTGACCATCATCAACACAGAATCCTTCTATTGTGCTTGAACTTGTTCCTTTATGCATATATTCACTTACTACTTTCAAAAAAAAAAAAAAAAAAAGGCATTGAGATGGTTGTTTCTTAGGGAGTCCATGAACAAAATTTATTATCTTTAACTGTCCCGATGCTGTATGCAAAGTTGCTACACATGTGCGTTATGAGCACTTTTCTCAAAATATGCTCAGTAGCTTTCATCATATTCCCAAAGGAAATTATTCCCTTATCTCATCCAATAAGGTGGTAAAGTCTACAGCCTAGATCCTAACTATGAAGGAACATTAAGGCCAGTGTTTTGATACACAGATGGTACCTTTACATTATCATGGAGTTAAAGCCTCTAACTCTTACAGACAACTTTGCCTTCCTTACCAGTGAATTCATACTTAGCACAGGACATGTCAATGGTTGGTTCCAGGTCAATGCTAGAAATGTCAGAAAGCCAGGCCCGGAAATCTTCAAAGAGAAGTTTCCTAGAAGTATAAACAAAAGATGACTTGTTATACCACAGTGTGGGCTCTCTCTGGATCCATGCCACAACTGTTTTCCTGGAGGTCACATTTTATTCAAGAGATTTCACCGAAAAGGTCCTGAGAAATGTTTCACACTTTTAACTTGCACAGTTTAAGACCAATAAATGTAAATCCTAGCTCTCAAGGCTCATTTATTTCATTTTCTTCCTTCTAAATTTAAAGTATGTCCGACCACAGCAGGACTTTTGGCTTTTGTTATAACAACTTACCATATCACTGCTACATTCCAAATTACTGATTTGTTGAGACATGTTTTTGAGCAAGAAAGTGGAAAATTCAACTGTTTTTTTCTTTAAACTAAATATGTGTTCTTTTCCCATATTGACTACTCTGAAGCCAACTGGTTAATTTTTTATTTATTTATATTCATTTATTTATTTTGCCTTTTTGAGACAGGGTTTTGCTATACAGTTCAGATTGGCCTTGCGCTCACACTGTAGCCTAGGCTGGCCTTAACTCCATGGTGATTCTACTGCTGCAGCTTCCTGAATGCTGGGATTACAGGCATGAGCCACCACACCTGGCTGCTAAATGATTCTTATAAATCAATTCAGTTCTGACACTACCTGTAAGAGGTTAGCTATGTAAGGCCTCAGTCCACTAGGACTGCCTCTCATCTGCAGACAGCACTTTCAAGTCCAGAAAAGGCTCATTCCTGTAGATGGACTATATAGCAGATTCCCACAATACCCTCCTCAAGTTTGGTTCTTTGCTGGGCAGTTTACATTCTACATGGAACAGCCAAAAGGAAGATATTCATGGGCAAAGCACTGCGGAAAGGGCCCACTATGTTCCCCAGCACCTACAAGTTTTCAACAAACTGAATCCCTCTTGGTTAGGGATTTCTATGGAGACTGCATTATGCAGGCATGATTAATTAAACAAACCACTCACCACCGTTGAATACTGCCATCAACTGCTAGCCTCTCTTTCCCTTCGAAGGTTGGAGTACCAGTACTGAAAGTTCCAACCCTCTAACCACACTGTCAGCATCCCTGGATACCAGCCAGCCCCACACCCCAAATCTTCAGGGCTTTCCAACTTCATCTCATTAATATACACTCAGGTGTAGTCAAGGGTTTAACATTTCATTTACCTTTATTGATCTTATATTCCAAAGGTTTTAAGAGCTTGATGCCAAGAATGGGAACTAAGAACAAACAGATTTCCTTTTACAAATTACAGTCACAGAAGCACTCACTGAGTACCATCACTCAATGAACACTTGGCTGATACTGTTGCAGAAGGTCACAGGGACTTTATACTGCAGAGACAGTACGTACAAACTGCACAGGAATCAATAAAATCCTTCATAATTCTGGTGCTAACAAGGTACCAAGAAAAAGATGGTGCACATTTCCATTTACTAGTTAAATTGACTCCCTGGACAGAAATCTCTAATACAATGCATAGCTCACTCAGCCAAAGAACTTCTGAAATTAAGTTAACTTTCATGATTTTTAAAAATTTTAAAGGATTTACATTAATTTAAGTCATGTACATTAAGATATTTGATTAGTATTTTTTGATGATCCTGGTCCAAAAATACATTATGATTATTTAGGACATAATATTTTTATTTTTACACATTTGACCGAGGTTTTCTAGTAAACAATCACTGCAGTGGAAAAGAGCATGAAGGTCAGCCTCCAGCCATTGGCAGCTGCCCTGCTCAGGGCCTAGGTTCCTCCTTACCCAAGTGGTGAGGTGGAGGGGTGTACGTCCCTTCCTTTATTAGCTTATCCCGCTGCTTCTTGATGGCATTCATGTGCTTCATTGTTTTCTGCCAAAGTAAACGCTCTACCAAATCATCATATTCTATCTTGCACTCTTTATTTACCCAGGTAGCACCAGTTCCATGTGCACATTCTAGCCATTCTTTCTCAAACACATGACATTGAGAAGCAATTCTATAGGGCTGTTTAGAACTTTGGCTCATGTGATGATCTAAACTAATGCCGTCTTTTCTGCACATCAAAGAAAGACATGACGTCACACAGAAGTGCCTTTGACTCCTTCCCAGGCTGCAGCTTCAGCACGACCCAAAAATACATAATTAAAATTGCCCCCAATGCAAATTTGGTGTTCATAACTAGATATCAACTTTCCACATAGGTCTGTTTCCTTATCAAATAACTTTTTATATTATATGCCACTAAAAATATGCCATAAAATATTATGCTTGGTTGGTATAACCAGAAGCGTTCTGTAACTTTTAAAGGCAGAACTAACAGTTATTTAGAAGGACCAAGATAGCAAGCTGCTCCAGACAGTGTGGGTGATAAAACATTTCTATAAAATGTTCCTATTTTAAACAACTAATATCATCAAACTCTTTTACTAGTAGCATTAATTTCCACAAATTTATTCCATAGAAAGATTCTTCTACCCTTTCTATGAATGTGCCAGGGCCAGATTTATTTTCTGGACATCATTTTTTGGATTTCATTTCTGGACATCATTACCACTTTTAATTTCATTCATGAGAATTCTCGTGGGAACCTAAATAGGAGATAAAAACACAAAGATTGGCTTTCTGTAATGACCAGGGAATTCTGGCTCTCACACCATCTGGTTGTGACCCTTTGGGCATGGACTATAACTTGTCCCAGCTGAAATGACTATCAGAGGCTGCTGTGAACTAAAGATGGAATACCTTAAAGTGAGACTGTTTTTCTTTAAAGGGAAAAAAGTCTAAATAAACTTTAAATATTATACGTTACAATTAACATATGAGCAATACTTCAGGATTTAGAAGAAATAACAGTCTGTGTAGAGTACCAGCACATATTAAAATCTCAGAGCTAAGAGAATTTAAAAACAAACCCCAACTCCTACCAGATAGTTGAAAAACAGCTATTATAAAGCAACATGTGTTTATTATAGAAAAACTAGGGAAAAAAATCCCACAGATGTAAAGAGAAACTGTTTTTAAAAAACCCCTGTAATCCTACTAGAACATTCCATTTCCTAAGTTCTTCATTATATACAGATATCTCAATATATGTGTACTTTTTTCTTTAAAAATTTTTTTAAACTCTTTTATATTTATGTATTTACTTATTTATTTGGCACAGGGTCTCGCTACACAGCTCAGAGTCATAGGGATCCTCCTGTCTCAGCCTCCCCAGTGCTGGGATTACAGGTGTGGGCCACCACACCCAGTTTCAGTGGCCGGCACAGTATGCGATACTGGGTATTGAACCTGGTTCCTTGTACTTGCCAGGCAGGTGCTTAGACCACCAAGCTATCTCCCCAGCCCTAATAATAACAATAATAGTTATTATTGTTATTATTATTATTATTATTATTATTCCTTTGCAGTACCAGGGATTGAACTTAGGACCTTGTGTTTGCCAGGCAGGTGCTTATGCTACTGATTTTTATCCCCAGCCCTTTTCCTCTCAAATAGGATCATATCATATGGGTCAACTATCTTTACTTTTTTCTCGATAAAAGTGTATTTCAATGAATTTAAGAAGGCTTTGATTGCAAAATTTATTACTTTGCACCTAAGAACAAAATGTTGTCAATTAAATTTGTATAAAACCATGATTGTGTAAGACACTGGATCACACAGACATTTAAAAAAAAAATATATGTAAAAAATAGAAACTAAAATCTTTGAATTGATGAAAGAAGAGTACAGCTAACAAATTCTAGTATTTAAATTCTAGTATTTAAATACTTCCTTTTTGTACTGGCAATCAAACTCAGGACCTTGTACTTGCCAGGCAGGCACTTGTGTCACTGAGCTATATTCATACATTAATAGCCATAAAGCTTTCCACTTTGTTTTATACCATTACCTATATAAGTTTCTATAGGTGGCCATTTAAATTTGTATATAATTTTGCTCTGTATGAACATTACAACAATCTCATAGAATCTTTGAGTATATCATTATTTTGTCAAGATAAATTTTTGTAAGTAAAATTACTTTCTAAAAAGGATACACTGGGGGCCGGGGAGATGGCTCAGCAGAATAAGCGCTTGTCTGGAAAGCGCAAGGGTCTGAGTTCAATCCCAGTTCCGTGAAAAAAAAAACAACAACAACAAAACAAAAAAAACCAAAAAAACAAAAAAGGATACACTGGGCTATGGATATAGCTCAGTGGCATAAGTGCCTGCTTGGTAAGCACAAGGTCCTGAGTTTGATCCTCAGTACCAAAGCAAATCAATCAATCAATCAATCAATCAATCAATCACATACTTTTAAGGGTCCTGATACATTTTTCCAAACCATCTTCTATAAAAGGCTGCAGCAATGTACAGTGTAAAGAAATTTATACTGTTTGGGTTTTTTCCCCTCCAGTATTTCTCTACCTAGCAGTATGACAAATGGCATCTCCATTCTTATTTTGTGTTTCCTTGACCACTAAAAAAGTCAACCTTTTTATCTTTAAATATTTAGACCTTAAAATCAGGCAAACTTGAGTTTATATCCAAGCTCCCTCAATTTTAGCTGGGTAGTCTTTTAAAAATTTTTTTTTTTATGTATTTAGTACAGGGTATACAGGGTCTTACTGTGTAGATGGGACTCATAGTGATCCTCCTATCTTCAGCCTCCCAAGCACTGGGATTATAAGCACATGGCACCATGCCCAGTCCCAGTCTCAATAGCCATCTCAGCGTACCCCGGGGATCAAACCTGGTCCCTGCAACTGCCTAATCAGATGCTTTAGTCTGGTGAGCTATCTGGCTAGCCCTATAGCTGGGTAGTCTTAAAGATGCTAGTTAATTTCTCAGTCTGTTTCTTCCTCTGCAAAATAGGATAATGTCAGCAAACACTATGTGAGACACATTTAAAGTACTTACCACTATACCTAACACATATGATACCCAACAAATACAATTATTTGCTTACCGTAAGGCTGAGATATGAGGCTCCCTTCTCTTCTTTAAATCATCAGACTTGATCATGAAAGAAAGAAAACAAAGATTTCTTTATTATTATATACTAGGGCCAAACAGCAGAATTGGCCAGTGCAGGCTCTGGCGGCGTTGCACCATAGGACGAGCTGGACTCTGCAGTCTAACTGCCTAGCTTTGGTCATGGACTAAATCTGATCCATTTGACTTGGGCAAGTTACTTGGTTTTTGTGTACCCTGCTCATTGAGAAAATACTCCATTTATCATAGAGAACTTTACTTTTTTTTTTTCTTTTCAAAGTTTTATTGATAAACATATAGCAATGAGACAGTTTCAAATCCAATCGGAAGTACAGTTTCAACAAATAATACACTGCATATATTCTTCTTAGTGGTTAATTGCTGTACAAGATGCAGACT